CTTTTCTTTCTAAGATAGAACCCCAACAGTAAACTGTTTGGGGAAAATATTCAACTCAATAATCTTCTCCAACAAAATAACTCAAACGAAGTGGATCGATAGGTGATAGGCTACTGCATCACGATCCATGAAACCCCAAGACCCCAAGAGTTCTGGCAAAGTACTCTGTCCGTCCCCACTCTTCCATTGTAGCAACTGATACGAATTGGCCTTCAATGACAAGCTCAGCACTTTCAAGTTCGCTACGAATAATCTCCACCTCATTGATGAATGTCTCCTGAGCTCCACAGAACGACTTTTGAACAAACATGATTTGTAGATTGAACTATGTCTTCCGATTACGCCTGCTTGGAGACACTGCAAACAACATGACAATGAACATGCTGCTAAACCCCGACCAAAGTTCAGGATCGTAACCAACTTGCCGGAAGATATTCTCCAAAGTTGTCCTTTCCTTACCCTTCCGATGCCACTCAGCAAAGATCTTTTCAGATACTTTCGGTGAACCATCAGCCCTGCGGGTAAAAATACGGTTTGCCCTTTGACGAATAGCAGCCTTGGAAAGCGTATGCTGACCAAGTTTGGGCTGCCCAGCCCTTCTATCTTTGATATCGGGGATGTATTCCTCAAAGTACTCACCCCCAGGGCTTGCCATCTGCGACTTTTCGGGTGTTGCAGATTTTTTCGGACTTGGAAAAAGAGCTTTGGAGGTACTTGCGATAGGAGAGTGAGGAGAATCAGGCTGTCTGTCTGGCCAATCCAAATCATTGTAGGGGCACGCACGTCCCTGCTGGTTGGTGTAAATGATATCCACACCTACAATCTCCACATCAGAGTCAGACTGATCCCCATCTTTCACGGTGTCAGGGGTTTCCTGGCACTCCCCTGTGTCCGCACGCTCGTAGTATTGCGTGGCAGGTGTGCCACACTCACCGCTGCGGGCTGGCGAAGGCACAGGACGGTCTGGCGGGGCTTCGGACAACTCGGGTTCTAAGACCTAAGATTGAACATGAAGTGATTCTCAAAGACGGTTCTTTCAATCTAACATACAAACCCATCTTTGTTGCAGACAGGGAACCCTAAGTTGTTCTTTCATCTCCTCTTCGGAAAGCGAAGAGCTAAGTAGCTTGTCATAGTGAGTTTGCACTGCACCTGCAGCCTCCAAAAGACTGCTACCTGACCAAGCTCTGCTCATAGATGGGTTCATCGTCATGGGACCTGGCCTACAAGACACTACAGCAAACACTTGAGGCAGAGATCTGGCCCAAAAAGGCTCGAAGAGCAGAGACAATTAAGGGCGGTCAAGAATCAACAAACTATTCTTTTGGAAGAGACCCTTGTGCATGAACAGCCATCCAATCAATGGCGGTTTTGTCCATGGTGGATCATGACCTGCGCAGGATGCAGCATAGGCTCCATTAATTTCCAGAATTATGTATCTCACAGGGCACACAGAGGCTTTGTGACAACACAAAAGGGCTAAAAAAGGCGGTACGGGTAAAAACGTCGTTTTATCGGGTAAAAACGCCGTTTGATCGGGTAAAAACGCCGTTTCAAAATCCTGTATTTTTTAATCGATTGTTTTGGAGTGTTGAAGCCCCCATGTGTACGTGCACTGGAGCTCCATTGCTACAACCTATTGACCAAAATGTTCCTTAGACCTTTTTTAGGTCAAATAGCTCCAGCTTTCTGTTTTGAAGGCTGGGCCCCACATCCAAAAAAGATGGGAACACAGCTTTGTACTCCTCGGGCATTTTCAAGCATTTGCTGCCCCGCAGGTAAAGCAGCACTGAGCCAAGTTCTGCGTCTTCCCAGGACGACCAATTCCGCAAGAGGTCTGGGAGGGGAGTCTCCATGTCTACCTGGGAGGCTGGTAAACCCCTTATAGTTGAACGATGCTTCAAAAGTCAAAGTGTCGTGTCCTATGTTGGTCTTGTCAGGTCAAGATACTTCCAAATCAAAAGTTGGAGGGTCTTTGAGCATATCCGGAATCAGTGACACCAACGACTTGGCGAAGAATGGCGTATAAGTCCTTAGCTGAGGGCAGTAGCATACCACTTTACTATACCACATTAGTTACTACGATTCCAAACCCCAGAAGACTCAAAGTGCACCGGTTTGCGGAAAAGGTTCTGTGTCTCTTTGAGGGCAGGAGTTCCTTGGTATCTTTTCCTGCCTTGCCCATCTACATAGGCCCGACATGTTTTGACCAACTCTTCACCTTCATGCTCTCGCTTCCCGGAGCTGGAAGCCGAACAAGCAATGTTGAACAAAGCACCAATCCGCTTTCCGTTGGAAACTAGTGTGGTTCTCTTTGGTGTGCTACTGGCAAAGGCTTGCATCCAGAAGTGGATTTGGAACACCTTGGCCAAAGTTGTTTGGGAAAAGACTCTGACTCCTTCCATTGAGTGGGGATGGGTGTGAACATGCCTGAAACATCAACCAAAACAATTTCATCAATAGTGACACTGACTTGTTGCCCTACAGATCAGGAACATTCCATTTGTCCAGCCAAACCCGCCTTCACTCCGGCCCTACGAAGCATCCGGAAGAATTCCACCAAGTATGTAAAGAGCATCGACGAGCGGGGGTTCTCCAGGATATATGTTCCATTCATTGCGCAACAAAGCAGCATAAGTAGGCCACATCTTCACAGGGAAATTACACTAAACCAAAAAAGAAACCCAGCTCGAACAAACACATTGTGAGTAGTTCAAACCCAGCTTGCATGCGACCCCACTCCTGACAGCCATTTTGTTACCCTTCCGTGTAGCTGTTCCAGAGACACATCCCTGAGGAACTAAGATGCTACGCCGGGATGTGCCAGCGTTTACAGCTACCCAAGTTGAGCATACAGTAGCCAGGACCATCACCAATTGCCCAAAGCATGCCTGAACGCCCAGGAGAACTGCAAGCCTCGGCGACCGCTGGAATCGAGGCAGATGAGCAGGGATCTCACGAAGATCGATCGGTGGTGCAGATTGCTTGGTGGCCCCAATAGGTACCAACAAAAAAATGTTGAAAACAAAGGTGAAGTGACGCCATTCCAACTTCGCCGTTAATGTCCATGGTATTTCTCTTTGCAAACTTGTATTTCTTTTGGTTCTTCCTCTTCGGTTTGGGAATGTGGCCACGGTCTATATCGAAAGAAGCGACTGCAAAGCCTGTCTTTGCAGCCAAAGCGGACACCCGACCCTTTCCGGAAAAGTACTCTATGACCTGCCAAGGGGATCTTGGTCTCGGAACGACCAACCACGAGCATAAAAGCATCACCAGAATAAAGTCCTTAGCGCTGGGGGATTGGGCTGTGATTTGAATTAGACGCACAAGAACAAGAACTGTAGCTTCGGTAGAGCTAGCTCACGAATAACCCCAAGTGTCCGTGGGCGCTCCCATCGCAACCAGCCGGCGGGCGACGAGTTCTACCTCTTCTGGAGTCATTGTAAGGCTCTGTGTGTTCCCTTGAGCATGGAAGGCTCCAGGGTCTGAGCATTCTGTAGCTAACCATTTGAAATTTGAGAAGCTTCCTGAAGACCCAAAACATGTCAGCTCTACCACTGAAGTAGCCACGACTGGCCAGCCAAGATTGCCCTTTGCGGACAGGCGTGAGGTCCACGTACCTGGAGCTGGCCAAGGCATGCAGTGTCAATTTATGAACACCTGAAAGCCTTTGCAAGGCACTTGTTTTTTTGCACAAGCCGTCGTTCTGTCATCGATCCAACGGGTCAGGCAACACTGCCAACCAGGATCGGGCCCAACCACAGCTAACGGTCAACAGCTTGCATGTCACGCATGTGTACTTGTAGTCAAGTGAGTTTGGCCCAGACCCAGCGGTGTCTAAGTTGCTCACACCGTGCTTCAAGAACCTGAAATTTCCCAACAAAACCTGATTCTTTCTACTCCTAGGTCCTACGCCCTGTTTTGAATACAAGGCCTAATGAAAGAATCACCCCCAAGACAGGCTCACATCGATCACTTCTCAGTGGCTTCCGTGCCACCTCAAACGAGGAGGGCAGTGGGAAGTTGAAAACAATCACCAGGATCGAGCGGGGTTAAGTATAACTATAACTATAACTATACACAGAGAGGTCCAAACTTTACCAGAGGTGCCTAGTAACATTTCTCCACCAAGAAAGTGGCAGCCTTGCTGCCAGCAATTGCTCGGTACTCTGCCTCGTTAGCGTCCGGCTCTTCCAAAAGCGACATGAAGGCCCAATCCCACCAGCCCAACTGCAGGGGTTAGTCAAAGCCACCTTTTTTAGAAAATCAAAGCACTGATACGAAAGCAAAAACAAAGTCAAACACGCTCAAAAGTAAACAGGGGCTCTCGCAAAAGAGAAACAACCCCAACCTCGAGCGCGCTTGAATCCTTGACCTGCGTGACGATACGAGTCTTGTAGATATCCAGCATGACATCATAGCGGGTTGCAGCCTGAGTGCTCTTGGGCCGACGCCGACCAGCAAATGTCAGCCGGTCAGTTTTGGCTGCCTTGGCCTTTGGTGGCGTCTTCTTGCCCTTTGGCGTCTCCTTGCCCTTTGGCGTCTTCTTGCCCTCTGGCGATTCACCCTTGCTCTCCCCAGGCTTGCACTTCGAGTTGCCAGGCTTTGCCTGCTTGGCTTTTGCTTTTGGCTGTCCTGCCTTAGCCTTCCCTCTGGAAGTTTTTTTCACTTCATCCTCAGCCACAGCCTCTTCTTCAGGCTCTTCCTCCACCTCCTCCTCCTCCGCTCGATCATCTTCCTCCTCCGAGACTGAGACAGCCTCAGAGTCAACATCAACTGGCTTTGCCATCTTGGCCTTGGATTTACCACTGGGCTTGCAGGCCGCAGGGCGCTTCATCGCACGACCACGTCCACGCCCACGCCCACGACCAGGTGCTCGACGGCTCTGTTTCGGATCCCCCCCTTTCTCCATCCATCTTGTCAACCTTCTGCTTGCATTCCTTGAAAGTTTGTTGGTCCTTCCTTCGGACCATGGGGGCTTCGTCCTCCGAAAGCACTTTCTCTCCCTCATACTTCTTTTTCTGGTTCAGGGCCGCATCCTCTTCAGCGCGCTTTGTAGCAGCCACTGCAGCTGCTTCCAAGGCTTCATCTTCACCGGGTTCGGCCTGACCCAAAACCAAGGTCTTGGCACGGATGAGATCAGCCTTTGCAGCAAGGTCTTCTTTGCATTGGAAAGGCTCGTTCGGAGGAGCTCCCAGTGCAGGCGCAGGACACTCTACTGGTAGCTCAGGCTCGATCGGCTGGGTGTCCATCGAGTCAATGCCTTGGCAGCAGTCACGAAATAAGTAACAAAGATCAAAAAGTTGGGAGCCCTTCCACCCCAAGAAAACAAAAGGAAAACATGGTGGAGACAAGATTGAACAATTCTGCAAAATTCAAGAAAGCTGCCCAGGGCCGGTGTTGCTGGTGACACTCTACCACACTTGGCAGCGCGATCGTGGCTGATTTCCGCAAGCCTCTTCCTTTGTCAAAGCATTGGACTGGGGTCTTAAAAAAAGAAGATTCCGGCAATTAGCTTTTTGAACATTAATCCACATTAAACCCAGAAGCAATCAACCAGTTCAACAAACCAAAACGATCAAGCATGGATGAGGATCCGGAGTGCTTCGGCCCGGGCATGAGCATCAGCTTTCAACGCCTTTGGTGGAAGAGGTGGAGGCAGCATCGCTTCTGGGCCTGCCTGAGCAATTTCCAGACCCTTGTCATTCTTGTCCTCTTTCTCCTTTGTCTCAGGCTGCATTGCTTGTGCGCCTTCAGGCTTTGGCAGCATAGGTGCTGCACCCTTTCCATCATGCGGTTGGGTTTCTGCCTCATTTGGCAAAAGCCGGAGAGCCGTAGGTTTGGAATGGTCCATGTCCACAGGGACCTCCGGATCATCATCTACAATTTCTTCTTCTGGTTCTTCCACAGCTGGCTCATCAAAGAGATCGGCTGGAGTTTCACTCACTGGAGGCCCGTCCCCAGCACCTGCTGCCGCACCAGCCGCAGGGAGTGCTGAAGAGCTAGCATCACCGGCGCTGTCGCCATCATCGTCTTCGATGTCGATGTAGCCATCTTCAGTGGCCGCCAGTGGTACTGCCTCCGCCCAGTACTTCTCCAAAATCGCGAAGAATGCTTCCAGCTTGGGTTCCTGAAGGGGTAAGAACTTGGCATGAAAGCTTCAATGAACAAACAAATTATACAAGCATAGACCCCAAACAGCTTCAAAACGATTCAGATTCG